TTCTGCCAAACATGGCACTGTTATTGATCTCGGTAAAACATACCAAATGGCTGAAAATTTTAAAAGCAGACAATATCAATTTTAATATACCAAACTACTGTTAAAATTTTTAAAATTGGTCTAAAATTACGTCTACTTTTTGAATAGCGGTAAATTTCAGAAATACTTGAAGCTTCGGTATTTCGAATTTTAAGAATGCTAATTTACTCAAAATTAATACTTAAAACAATCCCTTAAAAAGAAGTAACGTTATTCTGGGATCATCGAAAATGGCGTGATACTTCCCACTTATAACTATTACATAAGTTTATCTCATTAAGTCTAACTGAACATACCAGCAAAAATGTGCGAAATAAGGATACAACCACCAAAGGTGAAAAAACACTCTTTAATACGAACGCTGGGCTTTTCCCGAATTAATACTTTTTTACTTGTTATATATAACATGTATTTATGTAGTGAAATCATATCTAGCTACAATGTTGACCTATTTAATTATGGAACAATAGCAAAAATATTACGGTAATTATGCTGGCGGTTGCCGCAGCCGAGTGGCTAGAGTTGCGGGATAATTCGCGCTAGGACCCTATTCTGATTACTTGTTTGCAATTAAGAGATTTCTGCAGTGGTCGCTGCCCGTAAGCGAACGGTAAATCTCCAAATGTAGATACTTCTGACATAATAAAGCTTCGCATAAAAAAAAATATTTCAAACTACAGGCTCCGCCATTGGAGAATGATTCTGGCTAAACATTTAGCAAACATTTTAGTACCAAGTATTGATTTATTTATTTCATTTCGCTTAATTATATAATTTGCTATCCATAATACAAATGCTGTTACTTAATCCGCTTACAAAGTGCTTGGCATTAAACAGGGGCCATTAATAAAATCATTATTGAGTATACCGTTACATACCGATACATAATGTAACTATAATTATATACTCACGTATGTATGTATCTATATGATAGTTTATTATTAGGGTGCCCCTGAATATAGGGAGGAAAAATATTTTAAAAAAATTCGATTGACAAATCCTCTTATTTTTATATTTCGGACTAAAAAACGTAAACATACGCCTTTTTTTGTGCTGCAAAACGACGAACGCCCGTTCCGAGTTAAAATTGCACCTTTTTTAAGAAATTGTTCTGCGACTACCACACTGAGCGGCAGTATGGACGTACTTCTCACATATGATAAAAGAGCACAGAGGTAAGAAACTAACGTTTTGAGTTTTTCAAGGACATTGAAGAAAAAAAATTTACACGCCGTTTGTAGTTTTTGTAAAAGATGTTTTTTAAATGATTTTAAATGAATGGGGCATATTCATAATCCATTGAAATTTATGCCAAAAAAGCTGCAACTAAATTTAGAGTTGACTTTATTTTGACTTTGAATATGCCTCAATAATTTAATTTCCCATGTCGATGACTAAAATTGCAGCGGTGGTTTTCATGAAAATTTTCGTTTTGGAGACCTTGTTATTCCTGAAGTTATTATTAACCTTGAAATCGCTCCTCGATATAATGTCCGCAACTTCGCTATTGGGAGGCAGGAATACGTAGTTTTTTATCCTCCGCATTTGCTGACATGCCTGTGTTAAACTCCAAAAGTATCTCCAAGATGACAACCCAGTCCAATGGCAGGGCCTATACCTCGTCTTGGATTGTTATAAGATAGCTCTGGTTTCTGCAACTCACGGACAAGCTACCGGGTACACCTAAAGTGTGAAAACACACATATCCGGGTTGTCTCGCTTCATTTGTTGCTTGTTTGCCTTCGTTGTGGAATTTTTCTACTAAAAGAGAGCTTCGTGGGTCAATAATTCTAGTTGGGACAGAGGTTGTTGCTTCTGGCAGAATTGTTTGCGCTACTCTGAGCAGATCCGGAAGTAAACCGGTATCGCAAGATTTAACGTTCCTAAAAGTCCCGGCCTGGTTGATTTTGAGTACAGACCCTATGACACATTCGTCTGGCACTTAAAGTAGACGGAAAGGAGTTTGTGCGGCGATGATCAGTTTTGGACCCTTAAGTTGTCACGTAAGCCTTTTAATTACATTATAGAAAATAAAAAGGCATCTGTTATAAAAACTTTTGCCAAATGGTTTTTTTTTTTAATATTCTAAAAACATGTCCATCATTTTTTCGCCAACATATGTATGCACGCATAAATAAATATGCTTTTGCGTTCATAAATATTAAAATCAATTTACAATTCAACACACACTATCATAATTGCATGTAAGTGTGTATGTAAGTACATATTTATATATGTATGCATAAGCATACGTACACTATAAAAGTGTTTTAGTGTAATAAGTACTGATTTATGCATAAAATTGTATGTTTGCAACATTCACAGCAACAACCATCTGTGTAAGCAGCATATATATGTATGTGCATACGAAGGTGGGTAATTAAATAAATATTGCATGCAAATTTTCTTTTTTAAATTAATTTCATTTATTTATAAGTACTACTTGTGTGCTAATGCGGGCGTGCGTATGTCTGTATGTATAATTCAATTTTTAATTTATGCTGAAAACAACATGTGGAACAGCGCTTTTACTTTCAAGCACAGCAGGCAATCAACCAACAAAAAAAGGTCTTGCAACAAAATATGCATACATATACTTATATGCATACTTTATTCAACTTTGAAGTGATTTATACGGAAACTGTTTAAAAAATTTGAAATCATGTCAAACTTTACAGTCAATAGGGTTTGCAATATTTAAAAATTAATTTTTAAGTGAATAGTAATAATCCTGCAGTATAGGGTGTGCCAAGTACACACAGATATGTAAGTAAAATAAAACAAGTAAAGAAGTCTAATGGCGATTTCGTTTCTACCGAAAAATACAACCTTCTATTTGCCCTCTACGCACAAACATTTTTTGTATAAACGAACTCACCATAAGCTATCAAATACCCGGCGCATATATTAAATATAGTTTTTTAACCTTTCTGAAAACTACATGCCGTTACATGGCCTATTTGAAACATTGTCGCTAATAAATACCTTCATTTAGTCTTAATGAGATAAATAGTAGTCATTTTCCATAATTCTATTAAATATTTATTTTGGTAATTTTCTTTAAAAAAATATAGTTCATTCTTTAAAAAAACAAGTGTAAATATAAGTTTCCAACTTTGTGCAATATTAAAAAAATTCCACAAACTTGCGTACGAATTTCGAGCTTTTTTAAAAATTCTAAAAAATCAACCGTAATTTTTAGCCATTTGAAACTTTAACTTTATTCGAACAAAGACTCAAAATTAAAGGGGTGAACGAGAATGACCTTTAGAGGCGCCGCGAAGCTCGCCTTTGCTGGTTTTCAATAAAANAATTATAATAATTTTCTGTTGGTGTCGATGCAGCCAATTACTTGAAACACCCGTTATTTTATTTATTTTTTAATTACAAATTAAACAGATTTTCCACACAAGAGGACAAATCTATTAAATATGTAAATTCGACATAAATGACATAAAATATGCAAAAATATACAAAATAAAAGATGCACAACGTTTCCAGGATAATTAAATTTTTTCTATATTTATATGTATTTCGTTCACTTGTAAAATTAAATCAATTAGTTGAATTTTAGTAATACTGACTTTTCGTCCTTACTCTCAAATAAAAATGAACAAAATTGTATTGAAAGCCCTTTGGTTACATTCATAAATATGAACGACAGTGGTGTCAATATTATTATGGCTGCTATGCAAAATTGAATTACATAGCCAATAATTAAATTACTTTTTTTTTCCTATCGATTACCGTAAATGTACTAGTGGTAATATTTGCATGCATATACGTACATAGGTATGTGTGGTATTGTAAAAAATTCTAAAAAAAAACTAATAAATAATTTTGAGGTGTAAATTTTTCTCAGTGCAAAGTGCAATTTTGTGTGATTCACTAACTATGCACTCTACTTAATTGGTGCTCATGCAAACACAGATAACACAAATTTCATAACATTGACCAACGCGCCCGCGCATAGTCAAGAGCAATGAAAAGTTTTCGCTTCCGCAATAGAACTAGCAGTTGGGTTTCTCATTTCAAGCGACGCGCTCTTTCGTAAACAAATTTTATAGATATTGTCAGCGAAGGTAACCGCACCGAAAAGAGACAAAAAGAAAACAAAGCTGAAAATGTCGACGAAGCACGCAGAATTCAATGAAGATGAATTGCATCCACCACAATGGCTTAATGAAGAGTTCATTGTCGCCGTGCTAAGGGCCCATGAGCAACAAGGGACAGAGCTGACCCTCGAAAAAGTCAAATTCACGCCAGCGACTAAGAAAGGCGATCACTATGCGAGTGTTATGTTCCGAGCGGTGGTGAACTACAAAGCGAACGCTACGCCAAAATGTCAATCGCTGATAATCAAAACGCTGCCGGAGTTGCAGGGCCAAAAAAAGGATTTGCTGAGTAAATCGTTTATTTTCGAAACGGAGATCGGCATGTACACCGAGGTGCTGCCCAGGTTTGAAGAAAATTTGCGCAAGGTCGGTGACAAAACAACGCTCAAACCGCCGTATGTCTGTAGAGCTAAAAAGCCAGGAAGATTTATTTGTATCTGTTTTCTTTTCTTTATTCTTTTCGAAATGCTAGCTACCTTTATTACTCGCTGAGTCCGCATAAAGCGCTTGTGCTTGATGATATTGTGCCCAAAGGCTTTGAGCCCGCATAAAGCGCTTGTGCTTGATGATATTGTGCCCAAAGGCTTTGAGCTAATACGAGATCGTGCAATGACAATGGAAGAAGCGAAAGCTGCTTACGAGCGACTTGCTAAATGGCATGCGGTCAGCTTCAAAATAATTAAACAGGTTTTCGTATATTTTGGTAAAGTTAAAATATGTAGTTAAGCTAATCGAATTTGGCAACAGAAACCGCATTTTTTCGACAAATATCAGCATGGTCTATTCACTATGCCCAATCTGCTGAACGAAGGTCTGATGACAGACGGCATAAAATTCTTTATTGAAATGCTCAAGAAGAAGGCAACGTTGCATCAATTTGTGCCACACTTCGAAGCTTTGAGACCAGTTATACTGCAGAGGTGCTTGGACACATTTAGGGAATTTCGAGAGACACCTCGAGCGGATGCCTACTATGTGCTTTGCCACGGTGACTTCACCATCAAAAACATGATGTTCAAGCACAACTCGGCTGATGGGAGCTTGGTGGATGTGCAACTTTTGGACTTCCAGCTTTCATATGTTGGTTCGATCGCAAGCGATTTGATTTATTCGATGGTACAGCTGCTCGACGAGCACTTGAGAAAACAGTTTCCGATATTGGTTGAGTACTATTTTAATATTTTTATTGAGACTTTATTGAAACTCAAATATAAGGGTGCACTGCCGAAATTGGAAAAGCTGCGGGAACAGTTAGTGTGGCACAAGCATTTCGGTATGTTAAATTATTATTTTATTCTCTTGTGTGTTTCAAGACCTTATTTATTCTGAATATACTCGTTAAGAACTTTTCCAGATCACCACATTTTTGCCAATCTGGTACATGCTACGTGAACAAAATGTGGACCCCGTGGATTTGCATACATCAGCGGAATACCGACGTTCAATGTACAGAAACCAAAGCTACATTGCTGAGATGGAGCAGCTTTTGCCGAAATATTTGAATTTGGGTTATTTTGATAATTCAGAAAATTACTTAATTGCAATATATATACGTATGTATATGTAATATAGTATATGCTAGAGTCCAGCGCAAGTGTATTTGCTGCATTTCGTTCAATAAGTACTCATTTCATTGTACTCTACTCCCAACACTTGGCGTTGAGAGAGTAAATACTTGACGTACTTGCTATTANAAGAAAATTACTTAATTGCAATATTTATACGTATGTATATGTAATATAGTATATGCTAGAGTCCAGCGCAAGTGTATTTGCCGCATTTCGTTCAATAAGTACTCATTG